CACTTGCACTTGAACTCAAAGATGAACTCATTAGAGTTTGGTGGTCAGTGGTCACTGTTACCTTACGTTCGTCCTGTTCTCGTGAACACAATATCTCAGGAATCAAATTTATTCAAATTTGGCACAAACATCCACTTGGATTCAAGAACACTGTGACAAAGCTCACTCTGTACACTCCTCTGTAAAAATAGTCTCTAAGTGAAGACAGCATGTTTCTCACTGGAAATTATTCTTCAGAATCATACTGTATATGTCAATACAGCGATAACCTCCATTTAGACAAAATACAATTCTTTAAGAGTCTTCACTACATATATTATATGAGCCTGGACAAACATGACTGTAAACCTGACTGGTGAGGCGAGGCATACAACCACGAGGGAGTAATTCTAGCAGTTTTCTTCTAATATGATGGAGATGTAAATGATGTTGCTCACCCCTGATAGCTCTGTTAGTTGTTAGCTGAAAAATTATCATAACCATTAAGAATAATGGCCAAAAACTCCACTGACTTTGTAAAAACAGTTTTGCTGTAAGTGCTGAGTTGCTACTGAATGGAAAAGTCTTCACTCAAAACAAGATAATTACCACATTAGGTAAGTGATGCATAAGCAGATGTAATGGACAGAACATTAAGCACCTATAGTACTTAAATATACAAGCAGAGACTTGACATCTTTTAAGTTATTTGGGAGTCATATGAATTTAGAATCCTGAATAAGAGAACACATACAGTACCACATTGGTGGATGTGGAAGGAGTAGAAAAGGTCCTTTCTCTCTCACAGCTGAGCTTAGCAGGGCTTCTGCAGTTGCTGTCTGCTTTTGCTGAAGCTGCCTTGGGGACCAGGGGTGGGTCCAAGGTGTCCCCAGAAGAGGTGAGAGGCATGTCCTCCAGAGTCTGTGATACTATTGTAGAAAATTTTAAATAGCATCAATGTCAATTAACCTCATGTGGTTAATGTCTTTCCCTCCATCCTGCCTATGCTTCTCAATTCCTCAGTACTCTCCACTGTATGATCATCATATTATCTAAAACTATATCTATCTATATATAAATAGATAGATATAGATATAGACATAGAGATAAATATGTTAGTGCACCTTGACTGTTCAGTTTGACTGACTTTAGCGCTGGTCTTAAAAAAATGAGTCTGTTGTGTTACTTGCCATATGAACAGTTTGAACACTGGTCTAAATGGGCCTTTTACTACTACTACTCAGAGAAGAATCTCTTGTTTAAACGACACATGATGTGTTTCCCCTAACCTGAATCCTAACATTATCCTAACGACAACCACCAAGGGGGGTGCTACATGAAGCCGAGTTTTGAACAGGGAAAACACCTTAACACAAGACAGTTCAGGAGGCCAGGACAATGCATAAACAGGAAACACTGACAAATAAGTGACACGTTATCTGACAGAAATGCAGGGGTACTGATATTTTTGACCAGAACTGTATCTGGACACCTATGGTACCAGTTAGAACTCATTGCTGAAATTAATCCAACCATTAGTTAAAGAAAATACAAACTTTGAAGAAATTTGACACAGAAGATATTTCACCTCCACTTAATCCATTTTTTCATACACCAGAACACTGTGTCATATAATATCGCTCACACAATGTTCAAATGATCAAATCATGACCTGGATTAAGTTATCTATATTAAGTTAAATCTTCATTACTGTCTTACTCTCTTCCTCTTCCAAGTGGTCACGCATCATCTCCAGCACATTAGGCGGTATAGCAGCCCCATTAGTGTCACCCTGTTGGACAAAGCACCTCATAAGAGCTTCTTATGCGCAAGTCATGTGGTAAAGTTTATGAATGCAACTGGAGAATGACTGCCTTACTGTAATCCAGGGGTTTTCTAATAGCTGATTAGCAGACATGCGGTAGGCAGGGTCCTTCTTCAGAAGGCAAGTCAACAGATTTTTTGCTGTTGAGACAAACTCAAGCTGTTGAAAACAGCACATATACAAGATCTATATCACAATTTCTTGGTTTTCTTTTTTTTTTCAGGATTACATTTATTTAAGCATAACAGTGGACATTAAGTGTCACCTGCATCACTGACTGTGGCCCAGATGGGTTGAGTAAATGTAACCCCTTTGTTCATAATCTCCTCAAGCAGATTTTCCTTTGTTTTGGTCACAAACGGAGGCTCCCCACACAGTCTGCAGGGGACACAGCTCAGACACATGTATTCACAGTATGCACGTACATGTATGTATAAAGTATATTTATTTATTGTGCAAGTGTGTATCTACTTACAACATATACATAATAACACCTATGCTCCAGACATCACACCACTGGCTATAGCCACGACCACTCATCATTTCAGGTGCTGAAATTCACATGTATACACAAATGTACAGTGTGTCTGTCTGACATATGGAAAGTTTGAGCATTAATACATAGTTAAAACTAGTTTTAACTATGTATTAATGGTGCTGCTGAACAATGTTTCAAAAGCCAAGTCTCATTAAACTTTATTTGGACCCTAATAGGGGTCCACAGTAAATTAATAAAATGAAATAAAATAAAATACAAAATAAAATATAATACAAAATGAAAACATGTTAACATCAGGTAGCAGTCTTCTTTTTTGCAAGGCACGCTGCTACGCCACTCATTCAAACTTAAATCTCTATCCATGCAGTCATCTATTTGACCTATTTGGGATACTATATCAGATACAGGTGTCATACCCATATAGAGGAGAGTCCCACAGGCTTCTGTCATCATGTTCCCAATCCCCACGCCACCTGTCTCCACCGATAGTCCAAAGTCTGTCACCTAGGTAGAGAATACCACTTAAGAAAAAAGACTATACAAATAAACATGGTTATAGTGTGCTCACAGTACATAACCAATATAACATTCATTGTTTAAGGTGCCCTTGTCAAGAAAACAAGGCTAGAATTTGAGAACAATGATCCTTGGTGATTTACATGACTAGCTATATAGCTGTTAAGGCTGAAAGGGTCCACATATTGTTGAAAGAGGAAAAAAAAGTAGAAAAAAATCCAGAAGAGAAAATCAACTCCTGTGAAATGAAAGCATTTTATGCTGTGCCTTGACAACACTTTTTTACACCATGTTAAGTATGGGGCATTTGTGAATGTGTGTGTGAGACAAAATGAAAAACAGAGAGGCAGAGACATTCATGCTGTGCCCTAGCCTTGTTTTAGCTTACACACCAGGAACCTGCTTTGTCTGGCTCGTTATCAACGCACAGCACATGCTGTGCTCAGCTGGCAATTTGTTCAAAAATACAACTGAATCTCTCTCTGTAAAGGTGTGCTATAAGGGAAGACGAGGGGGAGTCTGTCATAATGAGGTAGTATTTAAAGCCTTTACTAAATATAGAGGAGATACAGTACAAGGAAATGTGCCCATCAGAGACTTGTACTCAGTCCAACAGAGAATGGATAAGAAGCTGTGATGGAAAGTTTCACCATGTGTGTCACCATTTTACCTTGATATTAATCCTGTCATCACCATCCTCATCCGGAGAATTTTTGATGAGAATGTTCTCAAGTTTCAGGTCCCGATGCACTATGTCTGTAAGATTCAGGAGAAAAACTTGTACACAGACGTAACAATTTTATTTACTATACACGTGACAGTTATATTTACACATTAGTTTTTGTTATCAGCTTTTTCTCAATATGTTTATAGTAACAGTGGATCAAATGGGTGAAGAGGGGTTCACTCATAGTGATGAAACTTTTAGGTTGCACCACACAGACAGATATGTGAATGTTGGATATACATTCGTTAGGTGGTCAGAAACAACTCCAAAAAGCCTGTGTTCTTCTGTCTAATGTTTTAGTAACAACGGTGGTTAGCACTGTCACCTCACAGCAAGAAGGTTCTGGGTTCGAGCCCGGGCCAACCCGGGGCCTTTCTGTGCGGAGCTTGCATGTTCTCCCTGTGCCTGCATGGGTTCTCTACGGGTACTCCAGTTTCCTCCTACAGTCCAGAGACATGCAGCTTATGGTGGCTCTACATTGACCCTAGGAGTGAGTGTGAGTATGAGTGTGTGTGGTTGTTTGTCTACATGCCAACCCTGTGATAGACTGGTGACCTGTCCAGGGTGTACCCTGCCTCTCGCCCAATGTCAGCTGGGATTGGCTTCAGCACCCCTGCGACCCTATCCAGGAATAAGAGGTATAGATAATGAATGGATGGTAACTCAAGATTGGTGTATTACTGCTTTGTGTGACATTAGCAGTAAACTGAATTTTAGTGGATTACCAAATTTGCTAATTTGTCACCTAATGCTAGTTTTGGACTGGAGGCTGAATTTTACAGTTTGTCGTCATGGAAGCATGACGCAGTAGGGAGCACCTTATGGTGTCAGTTTGTTTTGAGTCATACTGCACCCTCTAGCGGCTGCAAAGAAAAATACCTAGAGTAGCTTTAATATAAACCAAATAATTAACGCATAATCACGCAATACTCCCAAGTAATTACCGCATAATCACGCAATACTCAAATTATTATAATTTGAAACTGAAATTTGCCACACAGATATATTCTCTTCTTATGTCCTAGTATTTTAGGTTCTTGCTAAGGTCTTTAAAGATAAAACCATCTTTAAATGAGCATCACCCTCTGTTAAGTTTGTTTTCTCTCATTTCCTGCCCTTGACTGAGGCACTGGCCTCATAGCAGCAGTTGGTTTTCAAGAGATGCACAGTGCTGTCCATCGCTCATAAATAGTTAAGATCAGAAAAACAAAGGAGAAATGTCCCCACAGGGGATTAATAAATACTAACTAACTAAGCATCTTCACAGAATTGACCAATGGGATATGGCTATGTTTTGAAGAGTCATCTGACACACACACACACACAAAAACCGCCTAAATCTGCTGAAAATAAAGATGTTTTTTTACCCTTAGCATACTGTATTTTTGGTTTCTTGTCTTACAAAATAAAACAAGAATGGGAGTGGTGAAGAAAAAAAGAGCAAGGTCCAAAATCATAATTAAGTGCAACTTGATTAGCTAATGTCAGCCACCAGAACAAACTATGTTTTGCACACACTTACACAGTGATCTGCTTACCTTGTTTACAGTGGGCCAGGATCAAGGACCTTGTTAACAAAACTTGGTGGAGTAAGAGAAGGCAGGAGGAAAAATATAATTTGCCTTGGGCAGTCCTTTACAGTGCACTGTTTGAAGCACCCAACCAATTATACAATGCAACAGTGTTGACGGCGTGTGAAAGGTAAGTTCTAACTGGTGTATAAAATGAACATGAAAAAATTGTTTCCTTCATCTAATTAAAGAGCCCATGTCATGCTTTTCCTTGTTTTCTGACTTATCTATAATGTTGAAATGGTGACTTGTCATCTTAGTCATCAAAGCTCAAAAAATGAGGTGTATGTATGTTCTAGTACTTCTATGCAAAAGCAACTCAATTTATACAAGTCTCGCAAATTCTCACTCACAAGACATTTTTTTCTAACCAAATTAAGTATTGCATGATAATTTAAGGATTTCCTTGAATGGTCATAATCTACAGGCAGTTGCACGTTCATGTGAGCTTGACTAACATCCACCACCTGACTATTTACAGATTCCAGGAAAATAACAAACACCCCCCAAACAAATCAAAACTAATAATTATGTGTCCAGCAGAAATACAGCCACCGTGGCATCACTTTTCAGCCCCTTTTGTCCTCTCGATTGTCGCCATCGTTCGAAAGCCACACCAATATTATTTCTGGTTTTAATTCTTGCACTACCCAACTTCTTTTTAGTTGTAACTTTCTCGAATACGTTCTCCATTTGCAACTGAAAGCTGCTGTGTGTACCTTCTCGCCTTCTCTGTCATAGCTCACTAGCTTTACAGTAGCTATAAAAACAGAGCAATAACACATCTGCTTGCAACTGCAATGACTTGTGGGAGGCTCTTAGCTTGTGCAATGAGTGCAGGGGCAGAGTGCGCATAACTAGGAAGTAGGCTGACAGGCTAGGGCCAAGAAAAAATATCAGTCAGGCTTTTTCTAGCCATTCTGCTGCCATAGATGACTGTTTTTTTTTTTCTTTATGTTGTTAGTACATTTAATGTATTCATTGCTATCGGGATTAAAAGGGAATTTCAAGAAATTTAACAAATGCTTCTGAAAAGAGTCGCCAACCCTACCTTTAAGGTGAGGGACACTCATGACTTGTCATTTGACAAAAAGGTTCTGGTTACCTAATTCAAATCCAGCGTTTTCTCATTAGTATCATAAGTCGCTACAGAGGTGAAAAAAACTAGCACAGGGGGACTTTCCATGTAAAACAGCACCTTTTAATCAGTAGTGCTCCCTAGCTTATTGTAACTTAGTCATTAGCCACATACAGTATAATAATGATGTATTATACCCAATACTGCCACCACCTGTAACTACACCTTTCACCATTAAAAGGGGAAACATAATTTCCAAATAAAACACATAGATTTAATTAAAGTGTTTATTACATGTGTTTTATTTTCCTGGCAGTGGTTTGTTACTGCTTTTATCAAAATGAGCCATGCTTCTATAACAACTGGAAGTTATAATGGCAAAGAGTATCACATCACTGAGGGCAAGACAATTTGAGTATAATAATGGCTCTATAGCACTATTACAACGTAACTGAAGAAATTTGAACCAAGCCTTAGGTGTTAGCCTAATTCCTAACTGTGTACTTAATTTAAAAATATAAAATATTCTACACTAAAACATACTACTACTTCCGTATTATAGAGTAATTAGGGTAAGAATATTAAATATGTGAAGTAACTTACCAAGCTTAATAGTGTTATTTTACTTAACTTCTAGTTATAAGTTTCATTTTTGTTGTAACAGCTGGATGTTGGCATACCTGTGAACACCCTGATCAGTGATTTCAGGGTACAGGGAAGACAGTACATGTACACATCTACAACACAGCAACAACATTTTCAGCTACTGTTAACAATGAACCTAAAATGTAAGTCTGTAGAATTACCTCTTTTGTGAAGGTAGACAACAGCATCAGCTAAGCCACAGATGACGTGCCTTGTCTCATCCTCTGTAAAAAAACTTTTTTTCCGCAGCAGCTGCTTCAGTTCACCTCCAATGCACAGCTCAGTAACCAAATAAACCATCTAGAAACAAGCAGAGAAAATGCACTAACCATAGAATCAAGTACTGTTGAGTAATAATTACTGACAGCAATGCTCACCTTAGCAGTCTTGTAGACTTCTTTAAGATGTATAATGTTAGCATGGTCTACTCGTTTGAGGATTCTTATTTCACGACTCAGCATCTTGACTTCTGAACTTCCTGCCTTAAGTGACAGAAATTCAAATTAAGGCTGATGGAGTTTCAGCATGGTTGTGTCCATTTGTTTCTCTCAAATCAATGAAAGACTTTTGTGCAACTTTTTATTTTTATTTATTAATCTATTATTATGTATTTATTATTAAAAACAGGCTTCCCTGAGGGATGTCAAATGCACTCACTGCTGGTCTGCAAACCTCCTTAATCGCCCATTTCGTCTGTGTCTCAATATGGGTGGCTTCATATACAACTCCAAAACTACCTTGACCCAATTTCTTTCCAAACTGATAAATTTCCTACGGGGATAGAAAAGAAGAAGGAGAAAAAAAAAAAACAATAATACATTTGTAATCTAGAACTGCTCACTGCAGGGGATTTCCCTTGTGTTTAAGACTAGGATTATTTTGGATTACAAAAAAACATTATGATTTAGCTTCACTTCTGAAGTACATCCTAATTTCAAGCTCTCTGAAAGACCTGAAAGCTTTTTTTCCTCTCTAGAGCTGCAGAATATAGTATTTCTAATCAAGTTACAAATGATTAAGTTGCTGCTGCAGTTCGTTCAATCTCAGGTCTAATTAAATTGATCGTTATCTGTGTGCATGCAAGGCTGAGCACTGGCTGCTTTGAATTTGGCAAAAGGGGCAGTCAAATTCCCCACTGAAGGGGGAGGGGGTGAAGCAAAGTGAAGTTTGATCCTCTTCTAGCGCAGACAGTGTGTATTATGGATGTCAGCATCCATCCATTCTCCATTATCTTACCACTTATCCTGAAGAGGGTCAAGGGGGTGCTGGAGCCAATCCCAGCTGACATTGGGTGAGAGGCAGGGTACACCCTGGACAGGTCACCAGTCTGTCACAGGCCTGATTGGATGTCACCAGCGAGCATGCAACTTCTTCACTGGTGACCACCGTATTATAGCAAAGTAGTAGTGAAATATTGTATAGAAGGTCTCCATACCATGATTTCAGCATCACTCTCAAGGCGTTTTACAGGCACGTGCCTCTCCCTGGTAGTCTGATGGGACACCATCTTCATGTTCAGTTCTGTAACATCTCCCTCTCTCATCTAGAAACATGAGGAGAGGGTAGTCATTATCTCTCTCAAATTTCTCATGCTGCCATGACAAAAAATTCTTAGTTGACAAATAACTGCATTTCTCTTATTTAGATTGCTTAACAGAGAGATCACAGATTTTTCCCAATATTGTTATTACCACAGATGAATGCAGAGATTTCTTAAAGTATAGTGTTTAAAAACAACACATTTGTGGAAAATTGTGGCAGTGACCATCACTTACATTAAGCCCCTTTTCCAACACCTGGTACCGGCTCAACTTGACTCGACTTGACTCGCGTTATTTGTGTTTCCATTAGCCAAATGCTGGGGATAGTACCTGGTACCTGGTACTATTCTTGGTATCACCTCTATTGAGGTTTGAAGTAAGCAGAAGCGATACCAAACGGTGACTTGTAAACATTGCAGACTAGCGATTTTTTTAAAATCAACATTATTTAACTCTAACCGTTACTTTACTGTAGTTACTGTACTAACTAAAAACAGCCACATACAGAGTATCAAGAACAGTGTACCTTCTATGTCCTCCATTGTTACTGTGTTGGTTGCTGATGATGTCACGGCAGTGTAATGCGGTGTCACTATGACAACCAGCTACACTGAGAAAACCAAATGGAAAACCAAGCACCCGATACCAAAAGCGAGTAGAGTTGAGTTGAGTTGAGCTGGTGCCAGGTGATGGAAAAGGGGCTTTAGATACTGGTTACTAGTTACTCATGCCAAACCTTAAAAAAGACTATTCAACTAGACAATTACCAAGCTGTACAGTCTATCATTCTTTCATGACCTAGTTTACCATCATTCCTAATAATTAGAGCTCAATCAATACTAGATTTTCTGGCAACAGCATAGGTGACCTTGCACCACCACCACTGCAACTCTTGACCAACCGAGAGTCCAAAACTCTACCCATTTACAATCATACAGTGCAAAACAACTTGTATGAATACTACTGAACATTTGTTCAGAAGCATTCAGTATACCAAAAGAACAGTACTGCTTCGAAATGTTTAATGTTTATAAATACTAGAAAAACACATTCACTAATTCCAGTTTTCTAAAGGTATTAAGTAATTAACCAAATATTTTAAGAGGGTCTTATTTTACCAGTATTGAAGACATCATGCTTAGGTTAGCTTAAAAATGTTAAGTCTATACTTCACTGAATCTTTGCATCCCCCTGGTCTAACTTCTCACTTTTTTAATCAGTGCTATATGACCAAACTGCTTTTTTTGTCTGAGCTCATATTAACTTTAAACACAGTTTACCCAGCTTGAAAAACAGCCTCTAAAACCAAATTAAATGTAAAGCAATTTTGAAGTGATGACTGGGAGCGACGAAGTAGATCCACCACACGCACAGCAATTAATTATTAACAAGGAAGCGGTATCTTTAACCTCTTCACTCTGATGCATTATTTTAGCCCAGACAGGGCTCTCATAACTAGCCTGTCACCCATTATCTTCTGTCTCTTTTCCAATCAAAACGATTGTGACAGCCTCTGGAAATTCCAATCACCTCAATCACAGCTCATTTGTGGAAGACAGAGGCATGTGATGAGTGTATCACTGGGGACCTGAAGTGACTGGAGGAGGAGGAGGACCTCATGTGTCTCTGAGGCAGAGCTGCCTGGCCCTTTGGCCCAGATCGCTGGTGTAAAGGAAATGGGATATAAGGGTCAAGTCAGGGTAAGAAGTCAGACCTTAACAAGGGTCACTCACAGACACACAAGCCTGGGGCTGTCTATCTGCAGGCTCTAGAACACCAAGTTTAGGTCAGTCAACAGGTCAAACACAAAAAGTATTGACTTGTTTCTGTTTTATAACTTAATAAATCTAAGCATTTACACTGGAACTTGCATGTAAGCACAAACCTAAACTGAGGGCTTGAATGGCAGAAAATTAACCTAGAAATGATCAGACTTGGGCCCAGTGCACCCAAGAACTACTGGATTTGAATCCTAATCAGTACAGTAACACCCTGTACCTCTGTCCCTACTGTTAAGTTTTTAAAAAATCTTGTAAATAGTAAATTCTAGTGAAAAAAAGAGTTGCCCCAGCCAAACACTACTCAAAACCTACTATTGCAGTAACAAGGACATGATCCTTTCCTGGCTTGCAACTTGTGAACATGTGAACAAGTGTTTTTGTTGCATGACCAAACTGCTAGAAATAAAATCCCAGTAGTGGTGGGTGATTAGTAACCCTGCCAAGTGTGCACCTAAAATACCTTCCATTAAGGCTAAGTTATCAGTCTAGGTACATCAGCTGTTCTAACATGAAATTCTAAAATTTACTAGAAAAACCAAGAGTAGCTTGCTTACTCTCGTTTTTATTAACTTAGGTCTCAGAATTACAGCATTACCACATTTTTCCATCTCTACAGAGGATCGGTATGTAGTCAGAAGTAGGAATGTAAAATATGACAAAATACAAGTAGACAGCGCAAATCATCTTTTTTCACCATAGACACGCTGAAAGAAAAGCAAACACCAGTATGTACCTCATCCCCAGGGAGATCTGATTGTGATATGAAATGGCCTATATAAAAGGAGGCTGTGCAAATTACTTTAAAACTGTCCATGATAACAAATACAGCACTGTCACCATTCCTAATATATATATAACATGTAACTGACAAATGTATAAATGATGTATAAATGGTCAATGCTCTTTTTACTGGCATATGCTGTTGCTGCTGATCTACAAGTTTTAAAGTGCACCAGCAAGTAGGAAGCTGTGAACATGAGTGATATGACATTTAAGGCTGGAACAATTGGATGATTAACTGATAAGTTGCTCAACATGAAATTAGGCTAATCAACAATTATTCTGCCCTATACTGTAGGTCTTTTGCCGCAATGTGTCTGTTTGCTTTTATTTATATACAATCAGATTAAATTGAACATATTTTAGTTGTGGATTGTTATTCTACCCAAACAGGACACTTGAGGATATCATGCTAGAGTGGGCTGTTTTCTGATATTTCATAATCAAAAGAATAATCAGTTATTTACAACCATATTGCCGTGTTTAAGTGGCACTTGATAGCAGAACACCTGCAGCATATAACAAAGTCAGCAGTGGCATATCCCCCTAAGACTTTTTGCTTTCAACCAGACCATCAAGATATTATTTGAACTCTTTTACTTTAGAAGTTGGCTTTCTTTTATGAAATAAACAGCAAAATTAATTAAGTTTAAGCAATTCTCTAATGACAGTGCCTGTCGCTGTAGCAGAAAACTGCTACAAAAACAGCCTGAAAATCAAACAAAAACAAAATCTTACTAACTGCAATTAAAATGTACACTGCATTGAGTTTTGCTTGAGCCAAAATATTAAATTTTCCTCATGTGAAACTTAATCATTTATTGACAGCTTGGCTTTGATGACAAATGATAAACTTCACAGTCCTAATGAAGTGTGGAATTACATTACCTGATGAGGCAAGAAATTGCATGTTTAGAATGCAAATATAGAGCCCATCTACTTCACCAAATTATGGGGTGAATCCTAATATTATGCAGAGAGATTATCAAAGCTTGTGGTTTAAATGTGATATACCAAGAACACATAAACATTAAGCCATTAAAGCATGCAATGGACTTAATAAAGAGCTATGAAAAATACCTGGACTACAGCACTGACAAAAAGGAGCTGCTGTTCCTATTTGTACACTCAGCAAACAAGTAATGCATATAGGGTT